AAATTTCATTTAATTCCCCCAAGTTCAAGTCACAAAAAATTCGCTACAAAATAAATTCACTTCAAATTCTCTTATTAAAGTCGCTTCAATATGAAATTTACAGCAAACTTGAAAGCACACTTCCAGGCGCACTGGAAGCGCTTTTGTGTGTACAACACGAAACACATCCAGCGACTGAGGGGTGGTGGCAAAAGAAGTCGCCACTATTCTTGAATGAGTGTGTGTGTGTGTGTGTTTGTGTGTACACATTACGTCCTTGTTTGCGTGTTGCACTGTGCCAAATACGAGTAAGTATTTTCCTTTTGCTGCAACGCGGCACAACGTTCGTACGGTCGTGCGCTTGCTGCTGGCCCCGCAAAACAGCTGCTGCTGCCCAGTTAATAATTTACAACAAATTGCAAAGGAGTTTCTCTTTGAAGCGTTTTTAATATTTGCCATTATTTTTATAAAGTTAAATTTTTTTGGTGAAGTGCTAAAAAGCCAAAAGACATTCGGAAAATTTTGGTTATCGACAAAAGTTGTTCATTCGGAAAAGCACACTGGCGCAACGCAGTCCAGAGAGTGCAGTCGCGCACAGCTGTGACTTTCTGCTTCCAGGCTCGGTGTTCGGTAGCAATTAATTCAGAACAAAAAAAAAAGTGCTGTGCGTTGAAGTGCAACGATGGGTGTGTGTGTGGTGTATTCGTGTGTGTAAGTGTATGTGTGCGCGCGTGTGACAGTGAACTAAAAATCGATTATCAATACGAATGATGCGCTCATTGTTGTTGCTTTAGCGCACTTCGTACCAACAACCAACAACAACTACCGCTGCCGACGTCATTTTGATATGGTAGATTGCAGTTGCGGCCGCCACACCGCCACACCGCCGAATCGCAGTTACCCTCAGCCACATCTCGCTTTTATCCACAAACGTTTTACTATTGCATACTGCAAGGCGCAAAAGAGATGCTTCGCATTTTCAACGTCTTCGGCGGTCACAATTCCACCATTTCCAATTATTTTGATATAATGTCCCATTCCTTAGACTGGAGTACAACTTAGCACTATTGGATTTTGCCAACGGCTTGTTGTTGTTGCTGCAGCTGCTGGTATTGTTGGAGGAGCGCGCGCATCGCATCGCATTGCATTGTATAGCAGGCAGCGTTAGTTGTTGTTGCTGCATTTGTGAGTGCTGGCAGGATCTATACACGTATGTATGCATGTGCGAGGCATGTATCCATAACCACCGCCACCCGATTGCGTGGCCGTTCCAGCTGCCGAACACCAATAAGCGTATAGAATGAACGCAAATGCGAAGACGCGAACATCCTTGTGCAACAGCGAACAGGCAAAGGAAGTGGCAGTGACAGTGGCAGTGCAAAAACTATAGATTGCAATTCAGCAGCAACAGCAAAAGATTAAAAAAAAAAAATAATCAACTTGAATTCTTCAAAATTATTGCTGATTAGATTCTATGAATATTTGGGAAAAGTGCAACAGCAGGCGGAACTCGAATTTGTGCATTCGAAATATGAATTGCTTTAAACTTAAAGCAGTGCAAGTGCATAGTAAATACATATATGTACATAAATATGTATGTATATCGCTGGTGTAAAATAATCATTGCAACGCTGCTAAAACCGAAAAGGCAAATTTTCGAACAGCGCAAGTATTTGAGCTGAAGAAGTGAAAAATTATTAAAGGAAATAAGAAAGACAAAAAAAAAAAAACAAAACACAGAGGAAAGTGGAAGTGAAATTTCGCAACCTTTTAGACTGCAGTTGCATTTTTTCATATACAAGCAAACATATGCATACACAAACACTCCACCCGCCCACGCGAACCAACAGCAAGGCAGCATAAATAAAAAGTCAACAATTCGCATTAAGCAATTTATGTATAAAATTTATTTAAAATCCAAGTGAAAAACAAAAAAAAACAATAAGCAAAAACAAAAACAACATATAGTTTAAATGTAAACGGCAACAAAAAAAGCACTAACTGCAGCAATCGTCGATGAACTATCGGTATCGGTGAATCGATTGCTAAATTTTTTTTTTTGAATCGTTTTCGTGGTATGTGAGGCGGTGTTGTTCTTAAGTGCACTTAAAAGGCTGATTTTTTCTTATTTTGATGTTGTGCTTCTACACTCGAATAGACTCGTTTAATATCACAAAAAAAAACCACGCAAAAAAAAATCTATCACACGAAGTAGCAAAATTTAAAAGTTTAAATAGAAAATTAACACACATATGATTGGCGAAATTTTTAATTTACTTTTAAGTGAAGCAAAAGAAATTCTGGAAAACATACAGCAAATAAATTGAGTACAGTAAAAACCGTGAAGATTAGCTGTTTTAACAAAACAAAATCGTGCAATAGAGAATAAGTGTAAATGCAGAAATCGAGCAATACACTTTTCACTTCACGGAAGTGAGGTTAAGTTGAGGAGGCAAACAGTCATGTACAGAAGTGTGCAAAAAAATTGAGCATCTCAACCAACGAACGCTTATTTCGAAGAGCGCAAAGGCTTACAGAGAGAGCCAAGCACGAGAAAAAATAAAGTTTACGGTAATAAAAATAATAGTAGGCAGCAATAAAAAAGCAATTACAGTATTTTATGCTATATAGTATATATTATACATATGTATATGAGAATTTTCATAAAAAACTGTGAAAGAGTCTGTTTGTTGGTGACCATTCTAGCAACAAGCAGAGCGCAATTTTAGTCTTCGTCGGCATTCTAAAGAGAATAAAGTATAAAAAAAATTTCATTAATACGCTTTTCAAAGAACAAAATTGTGCAATAATTGATTTCAGATAAGATATTAAAGACAAATTATACTTCCATGCACTTTAATACGGGCAATGCTTTCACGATCATTTTCAGCGACTTTTATTGAATTTCCATTATTTTTCAATTAATATACAATTCATGCTAAAAAAAGTATATAAACGCAAATTTCAAACGTTGTAAAAAATTTAAAATATGCTTAAATTTTTTTTTATCAAAATTTAAACTTTTTTGTCCGCATTTTTTTTGAATATGCACTTTTATATCCCATTCAATTTACGTATGTGTATATGGGAAAAATTGTTAAAAATCAACGTTAATTTATAGCTACTTCGAACTTGCACTTTATTATACACCACTTTTGCAACTTTACTTTATATAGTTGGCCCAAAATAATCATACAATTTTTTGTGTTTGAATAACTTTTTTACTAAATAAAAAAAATTATTTTGAGTGGTGGAAATATTTTTTAGGACCCTTACAATTTTTTCTGTTAAGTAAAAAAGATGATATCCAGTGCTGCAGTTTATCGCATTTTCCATGACATTCCGCAAGATTTCCTGTGATAACTGTTCGCTACAGTGTTAACCAAATAAAAAACAGACCCTTTAGCATGAAAAACTCATGTGTGATCATACATACATAGTTGAAGTACAGTAGACTCGCGTTAACTTGACCAGCAGTAAAATTAGGCCGTTAATGATTTGGCCAACTTCAAGTTATTAGATATGTATATAGTTAATTAAATTTATGATTGAGGTTAATCATGTTATGTATGTAACATTCATATGTACAAACATATATGTAGTTGTAAATTTTTTTGTGCCTTCTCAATAAAAATTTTGGCAGCTGTTTCTCTCAGAAATAGCTGGAAATATACATTTAGTAAATTACAGTACAATATAATAATAAAAAGAGTTTTGTAGAACATTCTAACCCATTAGCACCCGCATGAAAGAGTCCTTTGGAGCCCTTTTCTTTGGAAAATCTGAATAAAATGGCATTTGGGAGGTTGTGAGAGGGTTAAAAAATTCTGGAGAATAATCATTTACCGGATTAGGATATTCTTAGACCAACACCTCTATTTTGAGTGTCGACTAGTAGTAGATAAACAACTATTAGTCGATTATCGATTACCGATGGTATTTCCAACATCCAAAATACCATGGAAATGCGACAAGCGAATAATACTATTAAGGAGCAAATCTTTATACAAAGAACGTAAAAGTTTAAATATAATTAAAAACAAATACATATATCCCCTTGAAATATGAATTACTTTTTACAAAAATTGGTATTAAGAAGCCATGAATATTGTTCACATTATAGCGAGTCTACTGTATTTTATTCAAACTATATTAATAATTGCGTGTTTAAACATGCAAATGAAATTGCTTTATAGCTATACAAACTGCGAACATTTTAGTAAAACAAAAAGTGAATGCTGCAACTGGGAGCAGTAATAAAATTTTAAAATAGACTAATAGCTAGTTTGACGAAAGGAATTGAAGTGAAAAATGATTTTTTAATTTGAATTTAATATGGAAACTGTGGGGGAAAAAATCATTTTTCACGTAAATTGCTTTCGCGAAACCGGCAATGATAATTAAAAAGAAAAATCTTATTTTGTAAGCAGCAGCTGAATGTAAGCGTCATAATTAACCCAAATACCATAAACAGTATACGTATATAGCTATTGCTACCAACAACAAATAACTAAAAATTTCGACTAGTGCTTTTGGGTCGGAAGTTACGAGAGTTATGAAAAATATTCGAATAACCACAAAATTTAATCAGAAATTGAAAAACAAAATTAAAAAAGAAGCTCGTGAATCTTAACATTTCAATCCTCTCAGTGTTGCATTCTTACCCAAACTGCCAGCAAAAAAGTGTAAAAAAAGTAAAATATTAAACGAACAGTTAAAATAAGCTCAGATACTCGTTAATTGTACTTCATATTACTAGACGAAATCAAAGGATCTCTAAAAATATATCCCATACACCAAAAAATCTATTATAGTTATATCAACACTCTTACGCATCTAAGCAACTCTGTGTAAACGTAGAATAACGCATTACAACACCAATATCTCACGCTATATCTAACGGTTTTCATAAAAGGTGACTACGGTACTGAAACTTTACAGGAAAAGGTAAAGTGCGAAAATTAAGTAATCAAATGCTGTTAAAAAAATATATATAAAATTCATTAATCAACTGCTTATTCATATACATAAGTATTTAATCTCGCCAAAACGCTGTCACCTACTCTAAAAACGTAAATTTATAGAACATATTCAATGCACCGTTATATCCAGTTCTAAAAAAAAACGTATCTATAATGCATAATTACCCCTTAATGAATGTCGCTAAAGCAACTGTGAAACATCAAATGAAAAATTTATGAAAATGAAAAGCAAAAACCAAAAACCAAATCGTTTCTACCAAAACACCATCAACATCTGGCGTTTTTCATGCAACTTTTCGCATATGTGTACATACATACATACAAACATATCTAAATGCACAAGTGTTTATACAAATGCGTGAACGCGTTGCGTATAGGCAAATGTAAACATATGTACATACATACATACGTAGATATGTAAAAGTGCAACTTTCTTGAGAAGTGAATGTAAACAAAAGATTGCAACACTTACAGTGGGTGGTAAGACGCCTCTCTGCTCTTAACTAAACACCGCCTGAGGGAAGGCAAATTTCGCTGTTGAAGGAAAAGTGGAGAAAAGCAAAACTAAAAAATATCAAAAAAACAAAAATACAGTGGAAATATTTATGGAAATTTAGTAGTTGCTGATCAGAAATTTATTAGATAATAATGTCGAAGTGACTCAAAAAGCGAGAAATTCCAACAAATTCGTAAATTTTAACCACGCCTCGTGACACGCTCGCACTCTCGCTACCGAAGCAAAGTAGTTTTCACAACAAAATGTACATGCACACATTTTAAGTTCGTTTAAACTCACGAATCGTGCAATTACGAAATAAAGATTGAAAGAAAACACATGAGTAAACAAAATCCAGTTTGCATTTTTAAGAAATAAAAAAAAAATGATATTCAAATAGACCGATTTGAGCTAAATGGCATAAAAATATGAATCACGTAACGAATAAAGAAAAGTTTTGCAAGTCTACAAGCAAATGTAAATGAGTAGATCACGAAACACTCACGAATTAAAGCAAGTCTACTGAGCCTACAAGGAGAAACAAGTGAATAACGGTTAGGAATCAATAAAAAACGTGATTTTTTAAACCCAAATCTGTAATCACGCACGCGTGTCAATAGGACTTGGATTAATTAAAAAGCTGAAATGTAAAAAGCTAAAATTGTCGTTATATAACCAAATCACGAAAAAATCACGAATATATGAAAACAACAACATATTAATAAAAACATGTGCACACAATCACTCACGTGAGTACTTTAATATTTATACGCAGTAGTCGCGAATCTCCAAATACGCAAAAAAGCAGTAAACATAAGTAAAATAAATGTAACCATTACTTAAAGCTTTAAGCTTTTGAAAAAAAAATTAAAGAAGCACTCATGAAAGTGCAAAACACATACGGGAGATTTGCAATTCCATTGACAATTGGAAAATTTTTAAACTCACGAAATACTCACGCATCGATTTAAAATATAAATATTTCATTTTTGATAACGAAATCTAAAAAGTGGATACCAAACACTTGTGTTTACACTACATAGAAGAAAACCACACTCACGAAAAAATCACGATTTTCAAAAAGCGTCAGCATAAGCATAAAACTTGTTCGAAATCAAACATAAACGCAAGCAAAGTTAGCAAGTAATACCAACTGGAAATATTCAAAGCTCACGAAAGACTCATGCACAGATTTGGGATGAAAAACTTTCAATTTTGATAAAGAAGTGTAAAGAGTGAATAAAAAACACTCACAAGACTCATGAAAAGTTCACGATTAACAAAAAGCTTCAAAGAGATCATTCGAAAACAGGCTTGAAAGAAAAGATCGCTTATATATAATGTTAAAGGCGGCTGAAAATTTTAAAAATTTGAGCAACGTCTAGAATCACGATATTAGACTGAAAAAAGGTGTTTAGAGAAGACTGAAAAGAAGAGTAAAAAAAACGCACATAACCGCTCAATGATTTGTGAAAATAGGCATACCAGTTAGAAACTTGTGGCTTTCAGGTCAAGCTTACTCACGAAAGCTCACGAGCTTCAATAAACCAACAAACGCTAAGGCGGTGAAACTTTACGCATAGCTAACTATGCAATCGGTTAAAAGCGTCACAAAATACCTGCAACTAAGACTCACGAAAATGTCACGTACGGGAAAAATATGAAAAATAGTACATAATTGCTTTCGAAGTGCGTAAACGCATGGCTTTTACGTCCACAAAATTTATCACGCCCCAGAACTCGTGTATACGAGGACTCCTGATGTCGTGATTTTTAAGAAAGGAATAATTGTATGAAATTCTGTATACGTACAATACACCGAAACGCACAAACGATACGGGAATTGCTATACAAAGTTCAAAAAAAAACCAAACAAACAAAAAGTCATATACAACAACAATGCAGCAAGCAAAATATTTGCCGCGAATCAAAGCAATAGCACTACATCTAAATCTAAAATATAAAAAAAAATTATCCCATAAGACTCATCAGTAGTTTATCGAAGGAATCGTCAATTCGTCGACACCCTTCAATCATCAACCAAGTAACCAACCAACCAACCAACGCATTTAAATGTTGCCCATCGACTCAGCGCTTGCTGCCAGCTCTGCCAAAGCATCGCACAGCTCTCCACCTTACACGCTGCGTTGCCGGCCAGCGCGCGGTACGGTCGCCGAACAACGCGCCACCAGCAACTTTGTGCTCATCACGCAGCATCAGCAGCCACAACAACAGCAGCAGCAGGATAATAAGGCTGGTGGCATGCGCGCAATGGATGAGGGCACCAAAGTCAGCACAACTTCTGTTAATATACACAGCTGCAATAGCAACAACAGTAGCCACAGCACGACGGTGAGCGCCAGCAGCAATGACAATCCGGGCGGGGGAAATGGTGGCGGCGGCCTTGCTGCAACGAGCTTTCGCAACAAAATGCCATCCATCTCGATTATACCATTGCCAGTTAGCAGCGCCGCTAGCTGCAGCGGCAGCAGCACAACCACCAGTGTGGTGCGCACTGTGACCACTTCGAATAAGGCCACTTCGCCACCACCGCTCTTCAACTCACCGCCAAGAAGCAATAACAACGGCTTTGCCAATAATAACAACGCTGCTAACGTGCAACCCCAACGCCCAATATTGCAACACCAATACCAGCAGACAGACAAGTGCACCATATTAAAATTTGATGTGCTACGCAAGCCATCTGCAGCAGCTGAGCTCCTGCCGCGCAATATCATCACCACAGCGTCAAAAACGCAAGCGACTACAGCAAGCGCCCCGGCGACTGTCACGAGCGCTGTGACGTTTACCACAACTGCCGATCGTCGCCAGCAGCACTTGCAGGCATTGCAGCAATCCATCTTCGAACAGGAGATGTCCGATGATGCCGAAGCGGATGCGGAAATAGCTGCGCTACATCAGCAGGTGGTCGGCGGCGGGGGCAGCAGCAGCATTGGTGCGGGCAGCCAACCGATTATCGTCAAGATCGAGCCAGCGCAATCCTTTCACATCGTTGATGAATCGGATACGCGCGTGCTGAGCTTACCGCTCTCGGATGCTGATAAAGTGGGCGCCAGTTGGATTGATCTCAAAGATATTGCCGGACTGCAGACCACCTCTGCCACGCTGGTGGATGTGTGCTTCGAATCGCCACCAGGTTTGTTGCCTGTTAGCAGCAATTCGTCTACTTCAACGAGCGGCGAGCAAGTGCTGCATACATCGGTGGATTCGGGTAGTATTGGCCATGCGCCGCCGGCTAAGAAGCGCCAGCTGGTTGTGAAACAGGTGCAAGTAGAGCAGGCGACTGCGACGGCAAGTGCGATTGAGACTGTAATGACGCCTGCGACAGCTGTGACTGCAACGGCAACAGCTACGGTGTCCACAGCGTCTGCAGCGGCTACCGTGACGCGACTCAGTTTGTCTGAGCGTAGTGTACAACAACAGCAACAGCAACAGTCACAGCAATTGCAGCAGCAGCAACAACAACAAGGTCAAAACAAGGGTACCACCACCACCAACACAACAACGGCAACGAGTGCGGGACTAACGCCTTCCTCATCGACGGGACTGAACGCCGGCGGAGCTATGACAGGTTGGTTTCTTAGCTATCTACTTATACGTTTGTTAGTATATATGAACTCGTACTTCCTAAATTTATGAAGTAACTTAGGTGTTAGTAGCCGCCTAAACAGTGTCCAAAGCAGAGTATTGCACCATAGCACTAAGTCTATTGCCTCGTTTCCATTATGCCAGTAGCATGAAAGTGCAGCGGGCCGGATTAGGAATTCTATTTCAGGTCGTTTATAACCGGTATCCTGTGTTATCTTGAACGGCCATCAAGATATTCTACTACATTGCCCGATTTTTTTTTTCACAAACCAATTTTTCTGAGTGTTTTAGCAGACACTGCAGCGATGAACCTTATGTGAAGATTTATAGGAAATCGTGCTGCTATAACATTTACTTTCAGTGCTCTATCTATTTTTTAGCATGCCAGAAAGCCGTTACATAAGACCACGCAAATAATTCTTGTGTTCATCCAGAGTACAAGTTTTGGATTAAACATCCTTTCTTCTCTCCTCCCTCTATATTTAAGTATGACTCCCATATACCTACTTCTTTCGTATAGACCGGCGTTTCAACTTTGGCAACTCAAAGACCTGGACTGTGTACTAGAACGTTAACAGCATTAGTTCTGCCTTTTCTGGTTTTAATTTAAGCCCCTTTTTCTCAGCTCATCGGAAGATGTTTTCTAGAGTTTTTTTTTCGATGAAGTTGCTCCCCACAGAGGGAAAAAATACGGTAACTAAAATTAACACTTCATGGGTATTAGAGTCGTTCACAGATACATAGGAAAGTCAACTTTTTGGAATTCCCTTGCTAACTTTTTCTTCTTCTTTGGCGCTCTAACCGCCGAGTTCAACAAAGCGCGCCAGTCGCTTCTCTTCTGTGCAAACTGACGCCAATTGGAAATGTGAAACCAAGTTCTTCTCCCCTGGGTCTTTACATCGCAGTGGTGGCCTCCCCGGGTTCCGAGTTTCATACTTTCAGAGCTGAAGCGTCGGTGTCTATCCGAACGACATGACTAAGCCAACAAAGCCGCTGAATTTCAATTCGTTGCACTATATCCAAATCGTTTTCAAGCTCATAAAGCTCATCCGCTTTATCACATGTTTTCATTATCGTTATTATCATTATTATGGACTTTACGTCTCAATTGTCTACTCAGTCCAAAGTAGCACTTGTTGGCAAGAGTGATTCTACGTTAGATCTACAGGCTGACATTTTTATTGGTTCCCAAATAAACGAAGTCGTCTACTTTTTCAAACTTGTAACTGTCAACAGTGACGTGGGTACCAAGACGCGTATGCTCTGACTGTTTGTGTGATGACAGAAGATGCCTCGATTTGTCCCCGGGTCTGGTGGTGACCCATTCGCTTTGGTTCTCTATTTAATCCCGAGAAGGCAGATAAGATGTAGCCCTTGTTTTCACCGATAATGTCGAAAGTGTCGGCATGCGCCAGCAATTGTATGCTCTTGTAAAGTATTGTGTCAGAGCGTTTCAGTTCTGCGGCTCTAATTCTATTCTCCAACATCAGATTAAAGAAATCACACGAAAAGGAGTAACCTTGTCTGAAACCTTGTTTGGTTTCAAATGGCTCGGAGAGGTACTTCCCAATTCTGATGGACCTGGTGGTATTGCTCAACGTATTTTCACACAGCCGAATTAGATTCGCGGAGATACCAAATTCCGATATCGCGGTTGTCGAAAGCGGCTTTGAAATCTACAAATAGATGGTGTTTGTCGATCCTATTCTTTTCCAAGATTAAGCTATTGTGAATACCTGATCTATGGTGGATTTGCCAGGTCCAAAGCCACACTGATAAAGCCCAATCAGTTCGCTGACGTAGTCAGGAGGTGGAACATCCATTCCGTCATCATCGACTGGGGGTTCGGGTTTGTCTTGTCCACAGCTTTCAGTGCTGCTACCATTCAGTAGGATGGAAAAGTGTTCCCTCCCTAATTTATGTACGTTTTTCTTGATACTCCTCATCGTGCCAGTTGTTCTTTCGGGCTCGCTGAAATCCAACTACTTCTTCGGCGGCGGCACTTATTGAACGGGAAATGTGGTTCCACTGTCCGCATATGGCGGTTTGTTGAAGAGTGCTCTCTGAGAGCAGGTGTGAGAGTCGCGAGGCGAATACATTGGCCGCCTGTTGTGGCTACAACTTTTCGACGTTAATCTTGCCTTGCATTTTTGGGCGCACATTTTTTGCTGCACAGAGGCGAGTGCGTATTTTGACTGCAACAAGATAGTGGTCCGAGTCAATGTTTGTGCCTGGAAGTGTACGTATGTCCAACAGACTGGAAGCGTGCCTTCCGTCTATCACTACATGATCGATTTGGTTTCTCGTTTTTCGATCCGAAGACAGCCGCTAAGTTTGATGGATCTTGCTTGCTGCTTGAACCTAGAACTGCATACTACCATGTTTCGGGTCCAGCGAAGTCGATCAGCCTCAGTCCGTTGTCGGACGTTGCAAAGATCCCTTCCTTGCTCACCCACGCACGAATTTGATATCATGGCGGGGGAGCACTTCCTTCCTCTCTTGCTTTGATGCGGATGGTGGCGAGACGTTTATCCACCGGGCTGAATGACAGTACTCGGCGACGGGGTCACTCTCCTACCACAAATCCACACCGAATTCGCGCTCCATTACATGACAGCTGTAGTAGACGTCGGAAGGCCCCTAGCATATCTTGCCTTTCCCCGTCCAACGCATTTCTTAGATGGCGGTGATGTCAGCCTTTGTCCTTACGTGAACATCAACCACAGGTGCATGCCTTCAAATCGCAGTTCTTTAAAAGTTTGCCGTCGTCGTCATCCAAAGGGGTCTCATCCGAGGCTTTATTTTTAGCCTTCACGTGGCGGGTCCCAAACCCAGCGGACAACCGATTGCTGGCGCGGGGGCGCTTTCGCAACCGAATACACGTTTATATAGCGAGCCGCATATACTGGTGAAGAGACACTGCAGACTTCAGTGAGCTCTTAGACCGAATAAGTCGGAGTGGCCCCAACTCTCTTTCTGCCGTGACCAAGGCTCCACTCGGATTGGTTACCGCATCGCCCACATGGGTTGCTCACGTTGCCCAGAGAGCGCGCGCGAGGATGCAAGAGTCGGGATTGAGTATAGCCGTGCAACTGTAACTGCATCCCCAGCACAACCATTATGCCCCATTACAATCCATTGATCTCTCAACTGCTCTAGTTAATACCCCATTAGGCGCTGTCTCAGCGAATCGTCCACGTAAATATGCATGCTGTGCCTCAGGCATACACACAATCGCCGCGCCGTGGAACATCCATAACATTCTCGAAAGCTTTGAATAAGAACAAATATGTTAACCTTTGTTTGGGCGAAAAGTGCCTCAGCCATATACACTTGGAGTATTATAATTCTTTACTTCTTCTTCTTAGTAAATGATTTCCGTTGCAGTTAATTATGACAAGTGAAAAATTTCTAAAAATTATCAAAACATATCTATGTAATCTTAAGCACCATTATTATTGACTAGCTGTAAATCAAAGTTAATTAAAAATATCATTTGCTACATGTGGCGCAAGAAGAAAATCGCTTCATCAGTTTAAAAACCGTTCTAACCGTTCAACATTTTGCGCTAAATATAAGTTTAATGATTACCAAAAATTAACTTATAAATCGAAACTGTGTTGTGTATGCCATTTTGCCTACATATGTATGTATGTATGTACTCGTATTGTTGTTGCAAACTAGATAATTGCAAAATCATCATCAACAGCAATAGCAAGATTAACATGCCATGGCTGCAATACAGCCCGCGGGGGGGTTGGGTTCTTCAATGCAAAAAGTCAAGAACTGCAAAAGAACGTTTGTTTGTAACAGTACGTAATGCCAAGCAATTAACGAGAAAAAGAATTAACACATTCATAAGAACTTTGGCATCAAGAAATAAGCAACAAAAATTAGCTAACAGCAGAATGGAGTTTGTGCAGAAAAAAAATGAAGAAAAAGAAATCAACAAAGAGCAACAAATTAAGAACTGCAATTTCAACCTGTAAAATAACACACAACAAAACAACAAAATCCCCAAGAACATTTCTCCATGTTCATTTACCTACATACGTATGTATATGTACATATGTACATTTGTGTATGTTTGTATGCACAAGTGTGTGTATTCCCATATATGTATGTATGTTTGTATGTTTTGGTATGAGTGCAAACATTTATTGGCTATTCACCTTTGCGTGGTGCGCTTTCAAGTGTCCCACTTTCCACACTGATCCAACTAAGTAATACGCGAACAACCGCAAGCAACAACACCAATAACCAATTGGCAAAAAAATTAGCAATGAATAAAAAAAAAACAAAAGATTAACCAACAACTAGCTAGCATTCACAGAACCAACACGTTCTAAGGCGCACACAGCCATACACACACACCACACACACAAACGTTGGAAAACATAACTGCGCTAAGAAGCCGCTTCTTCGGCTTTTTAAGCTGCAACAATTCAAGCGACAGCTACAGCTTTGGCTGCGTCTTTGACTTCGACTACAACGACTTTGAGTTGATTTCTATATGGAGAGAACTTGGAAGTTGGTTTTTGGTGTGGTGCAGTTGTTGTTGCTGCTGCTGCTGCCTGCTGAGTTCGCTTGCTTGTGCAGGCCATGCTGTTACTTACTTACTTGATTAGTGTTGGTATTGGTGTTGGCTTTGGCTTTGGCTTTAACTTCGGCTCTGGCACATTGTTGAAGTTCTATATTCCTTCACGATTCTCATTTCTTACACAATTCTGGCCTACCACCAGCCGATTTCATCACTTGGCTGAATTCTCAACATTTTAACCACAACGCTGCTGTTCACTTATAAGTGAATAAGCCAGCCTAGAACGTTGGCGCAATAGGAGGCTTAAATTTTAGACTGAGCTGGAATTGAAGTCCAAGTCGCTGTTGCGCAGTCAGTGGTTGAGAATTCGCTGCCATCGTCGTCGTCGTCGTCGTCGTCATCGTAGTCACAAGAACCAGAATCGACGAAGTCAGCGCTTCAGC